AAAAAAAAAAAAAAAAAGAAAAAAAGAAATGGTGTCCATCAAGTGTTTTCCACTGTAAATCATCTATTCCGTTGAGGAGAAGGGCCAACATTCCATAAGAAATATCAATATATTTTTCTAAAAAACATTTAAGATAATAAATGACCTCACAAACTTATTTCTTGTTCAGTACTCATCCCCACTCTAAACAACCTTAGATAATTTTACCACTTATAAGACTATATTTATGTTTGTATAATATACTAAAAAGTAGAGACAGGATAACTGGTAAATTTGAATTATGAAAATTAGTAATTTCTAAGCTTTCAGTAGTATGGCAAGCTCTCATGAGATTTCACCCTTTACAAGAAAGAAGAATATAAGGAATATGTGTGTGTGTGTGTACATATGTATGTATATCTTTTATTTGATTTTATTTTCATTTTTTTGAGACAGAGTCTCACTTGTTGCCCTTAGTAGAGTGACATAGCATCACAGCTCACAGCAATGTCAAACTTTTGGGCTTAAATGATTCCTTACCTCAGCCTCCCAAGTAGCTGGGATTACAGGCACCCACTACAATGCCTGGCTATTTTTTTTAGAGACAAGGTCTCACTCTGGCTCAGGCTGTTCTCAAACCTGTGAGCTCAATCCACCCACCTCAGCCTCTCAGAGTATTAGGATTACAGGCATGAGCCACTGCACCCAGGCCAATGTATGTATATCTTTTAAATGGTACATCCATACCATGAAATAGCTGATGTCATAGAAATGTCATTTAAAAAGAAAAAGGCTGAAATGATTTAAGAAAAATTTTAAAGACCAAATAAATAATTTCATTTTTTTTGTAAAAACTATAATTAATATGAATGTATGACTGCAAAGAAAAAACACTATTAAGGATATTACATAAAATATTAACATTGGTTGTGTTTATGGCTGGGAAGTAGGAAATTAAGTGAAATTATTATTTTCTATCATCACCATAACACTATATAAAGAAAAGGAGGAAACTTTTAATGCATGTAGCATAATAAATCATATGTGAAAATTGCTAATATAGATATGAGAATGACTAATCTTTTTCAAACTATAATTACTGATTTTGAATGACACATGCTTCATTTCAATCATTCAACAAATAGTTATTGAACACCTACTATGTGCCAACTAATAAGACAGTGCTAAGGATAAAGTGAATAAGACAGATACGTGCATTTTATCTTGGCCCTCTCATAGGTCACAATCTAGAAGACCTCAAACACTGTTCAGGCAATTATCAGCAGGAATAGAGATATGAAAAGGGAGTTGCAGGAATGTGTTTCTGCAACCAGTGTAAATAATCACTGCTCTTTATAGCATTATTTGAATAGTTTTAAAATTAGAAATTACCTAAATGTCCAATGAAAGGTAATTGGTTTAATAAATTATGCTATATCCATGTAGCAGAATATTATTAACCTAGAAGACTTCCATGGCAATTACAACAACAACAAAAATAAACAAATGGGACTTAATTAAATTGAAAAGCTTCTGTACAGCTAAGAAGACAACAACTGAGGAAAATAGACAACCTACATGATGGGAAAGGATATTTGCATATTTTGAATCAGATAAAAGCTCGATAACTAGGATCTATAATGAACTCAAATTAATCTACATGAAACAAGCCAACAATCTCAAGTATCAATGGGTAAGAAACATGAATAAAACCTTCTCTAAAGAACACAGATGGGCTCGGCGCCTATAGCTCAACCGGCTAAGGCGTCAGCCACGTACACCTAAGGTGGCGGGTTCGAATCCCCAGCCCGGACCCGCCAAACAACAATGACGGCTGCAACCAAAAAATAGCCGGGCGTTGTG